CTTGTCGATTACATAGAGCAAGTAAATATACAGCAGTGTTGTGCTGAAGTTTCGCAAAAGGAGTGTATTGAAAGAATACAATGAAAATGTGGCATATATAACGTAGTAAACCTTTAGAAAACGAGATATTATTTTCCAAAATTATTTTATTTTATATCACCTAAAATTTTTTAATCGTCAGTTCCGAAAAAAGTTTAACCATTATAGTTTCTGTGATTTTTTTCAGTCTAATGTGCCTTCACTTTACATTATTTTTATTATAGCTGCGTCTCAGCTTTTTGACATTGTCTATAAACATTTTCATATGTCAATTTTCTTTAGCGATTTAGTTTGAAGCTATCAAAACTTTATTATAATGATTGAAATAGCTTTCAACTCGTACAATGCGATATTTTTTTCTGAATATATCTAACTGACCATTTTATTTTCAGATATGGTGTAACATTCATCCTTTACGATTCGATATAGATATCCATGTTTCTTACTTTATGAGCAAATATATCAATCCATACGCTCGTGTCATCTGCAGCTCATACTACTCTCGTGCAGAAAGTCACAATATTAGTTCTGCTAAAGATTCGCAAACATGTAGAAAACAATCTACAGAACCGACCAACAACGTGGAAACCACCATTAAACACATGGTATAACCAATAGGTTGTTCCCATAAAATAGCAGCTGCGGGAAAATACTTTCAACTGCCATGCCCAATGCCTACCACATCACGCATAGTTTAGTTATATACTTCTATTTTGTTAGTGGTTTTCTGTAAACGGTTGCATTAAACTGTCATACAAATTATATAGGTTTCAACTGTCGTGCCCAATGCCTACCACATCACGCATAGTTTAGTTACATACTTCTATTTTGTTGGTGGTTTTCTGTTAACGGTTGAATTAAACTGTCATACAAATTGTATAGGTTTCAACTTTCGTGCCTAATGCCTAACACATCACGCATAGTTTAGTTACATACTTCTATATTGTTAGTGGTTTTCTGTAAACGGTTGCATTAAACTGTCATACAAATTATATAGGTTCTCTCCATTTGCACACTGATACTTCTTTAACATAAACCACTGATATAGAAAGCTGTAAACTTTATAGTATAAAGTTTGTAGTGAAATAGATCATAATTCTCTTATGAGCGTGTGTATGCCACGATGCTACGTTTCCTGTTGTGTCTTTTAAACGAGCCGAACAAACGTCCATCCTTTAAATTACACTGTCCAGCTAAATAAAATCGATTTATATCAGCCAGGAATGATTACGGATTTCATCTTTTCATGTGCAGCTTTTTAGATTGTAGTGAAGCACATTGAGGTTATTTGAATTTACAAGCTTGTCACAAAAATTCTGAGTAGATGCAAAATCAAATGAATCGGTTTTAGTATCACGAGTTTCTTGTTATAACGTAAAGACAAAAGGTATGAAAATATATACACTTATGAACAAACACAGACACACAAAATAATACACATAATCTGTTCAGATTATCAGAATTGGTAACTGCTTATTACAGAGGTATTTGCTGAGGAAATATGTCAACTTGGATATTAATATACATGTGGCTAACTATCTACTTAGTTATAGGACTTAAAAAAAAATGTTCAAAGTTTTATACATATTTATGACTTTTTCTGACTTAACGTACTACAAAAAGCAGCCATAATTTCAAATTTCAATGGATATTGTTGTTGTTTATTTAACGCAATGTTACACAATGAGGTTTCTGCGTTCTGCCCACCACGTGAAATCGAACCCCAGATTTCAGCATCGTAAGTCCGTAAATTTAACACTGATCCACCGAGGGATAATTTTATTAATGTTTGAATTAACACTCAAGACTTTAGAAACATGTTTAGCGTGAATAACATTACATAATTCTAATCCAGTTCTTGATAAACTGATTATAAACGATTGTTTGAAATATAACGTTATAACTCCCTATACAGTTATTCTGAACACATTCGAAGCGAGTATTAAAGAATTTTCTTGACATTTTAACAAATTCTATTTTCCTCTGCGCCGATTTATAACCAGTTTGATATTAAACCATCTTTTGGCCTAATTAATGTTCACACGTTTTCGAATTTTCAAAAAGGTAGTGATCTGATCAAATATTATATTAATTGAGTTGGTACACACGATTATCAAGTGATCTAACCAGGTGGCGGTGTTCACGCTTCAGCTATGTCAAGTGACCACCAAACATCGAACACATTTAATTACACAGCATTGATTGATTACGCCCATATTTGACGATGTTCGAATTATACAGGGTAATATTTCAATACACAGCTGTTGTCTCATTTAGCAGCGATGAATTTTTCTCATGACACAAACAGAAAACGTTCTTTCTGACAAAAAAGTATTTTAAAACCAGATTCTGAAATTAATTTCTATATTCTAACATATAAATTCTTTGGGCTTTTCATTTTCTTATTTTGTTCGATTCCGCGCAGAGTTGCGCAAAGGGTTATCTGTACCGGCCGTCCCTAATTTTGAAGTGATAGACATGGCGGAAGGCAAGCTATTCAACACCACCCACCGCCAACTCTTAAGCTACTCTTTTTAGACCGAATAGTGGGGGTTGACCGTCACTCTTACAACGTCCCTACGGCCCGAAAGTACAGAACGCTTTATTTTGCCGTAATAGGATGTAAACCATGAACCCACAGCTTCACAGTCTGGCACGTTAACCACTGGGCCACGCTCGACCCAAGATTTTTTCAGTTTACTCTGTATAACACACCAAGCAAAGAGTGTAGTATTTGTTGTGAATATTAATGTGCCAGTTTGGGTTATTTAAAATTGGTCATTTCGAGTAGCTGTACTGCGATAACGTTATAGCTCAGTTAGTAGAACACTCGTTAACGTACCAAAGATTCCAGGTTTGATCCCGAACCTTGAAGATGCAAAAGTTAAGTCAACAGTCAATTAACTTAACAGTTAACAAATACTGGAACTGAACCTTTAGTTCAGTTAGTATAATACTCGTTTGGCAATATAAGGTATCTCAAGTTCGAATATGTTTGGTTAATGTGCAAAAACGAGATTCCTACGGCAGTAGGTATATATGTTCAAGAAAAACATGTTTCGGTAATAATAGCCCCACTTTTCGTCATTTACTAGTGCCATGATTATCAAACACCATTGGCGTATGAAGATATTTTTACAAGCAAGAACAGTATTATAAAAGACGTAAAATACTTCCAAACTTTATACCAACAACAACAACAAAAACTATAAACCGTTAATTCTATAAACACTTTTCAATAAACGGGAAAAGTCAGTTCAAAGTAAGTATAGAACGGTAGTTACGGCGCCAAGATACATTGCATTCTTTCTGATAATGGAGACAATCGAAGTCTCGTAATTAGACAAACACAAAAACAGAGACTGCTAAAGTTCAGTGCATCAAATCATTAAACGAAACTAAAACCCACATAAAAAATACAGTCTATAATGACGTCCACTGAAGCAGTAACAGTTTACTTTTGACTAAGTAACTTTTCTTGTATGTTAGTGTTAATCATCAGGAGCCTGCATGGAGAAAGGGGATACTTGTAAAGGCACTGGTTTCTTAACCTGAGACTCAAAATCTTACACTCTTACGTAGCGTGGAAAATGTACCAGATATTTCCAAGTCTTCCCCCAAACTAAAGAAAAAGTGTTATGATTTTATATGAATGCCCAATTTGTAAGATATTTTTCGAAATTATTATTTTTTTTTCCAATCTACATATAAGACCTATCGTGATGCTTAGTAAGTAAATATCAACATAGAACTCCTGCAGCAAAAAGAAAAAAAAAACACAAGAGGAAATCCTCAATAGCCGCAGCACTTGAAGTTCTTTTAGGCAGGACTAAAGTAAATTACGGTATGGGACTTTTTTTTTTTTCCTTTTTATTAGTTATATTTTTGTGCTCCAGCAATACCAAGCGTGGAACGCGCGTATATCGGGTTCGATTTTATTACTCATCAAGACCTTTACCAGTCTACCCTCAAATTGAAATTCCTTTTAGGCAGGATTAGAGTAAATTAATCTATGATATCTTAGGTGTGGTTAAATATATCATTCGAAAGGGTTTAAGTTCCTGAGTCCAAAACTGTAATTAGATCTCAAATCGGTCAAGAGATGACGGAGGTATGTGCTAAAAGTTTGTACTTGAAAATAACAAACAAAATACAACACATTCTATGAACCGCTGCTGTGGCTACTAATTGCTGTAGAATTTGTAACACCAGAATACATATTCAGGGAAAACTTCCGAAGAAAAAAAATATCAATTCCATAAGATGGGTTGTAAAGCCAGAACTTATATATATAAGCAGTGTTTTAAGTAGTATCCCTACTCAAAAACTCGTGGACGATTTTTGCCGCTTTTGTGACAGGAATACATTTCAAGAAGACTAAGTTTTTCTATTAAAGATATATATATATATTGGCATTAAAACTTTAATGATATTGGACAATGAATAAACACAGCGAAACGTTTTTTCCTTTAATTACACTACAAGTGAGTAAAACAAACATGAAACCTGAATCTCACAAAAACAGTTAATTTTACTTTTGAGAGATTTTTAGACGCAAAATAACTACATTTCATAGTGACGTACTTTTCCGTAAGTCTTTTTTAACTATGCGTTTTATCCATTGAAAATAGTGAATGCAAAAAAAAAACAAAAACAAAGTTTTTTTGTTTGAATTGTATTGGAACTAAACGAGGCCTAATATAATTTTTAGTTTCAGAATTTTTGCCCCCCCCCCCCCAGTGGCACAGCAGCATGTCTGCGGCCTTACAACGCTAGAAACCGGGTTTTGATACCCGTGGTGGGCAGAGCACAGATACTCCATTGTGTAGTTTTGTGCCTAATTCCAAACAAATAAACAAACAAAATTCGGAATTTTTATATGAAGTTTATAATACAAGGATTTGGAAAACAAAAGTGACCTTCTACAAAATAATGAGTAATAAATCAAACTTATTACATACATGCTAGCTTGACGACAGTCTTTCGACTGTGTGTCCGACCAGTTGACGACCACGCATGGCACACGCAATTGAATTTGTTAGGACCTCCATAGTCCTCTACGTCTTCTCTTGTGACGTCTACTGAGACTTCCAGTTGACGAATTCCCGTCATGGGGTCTACAAACTGCTGCAGGCTGTGTTGTTTATGATGAACTAGTTCTCCGTTACATTCGAAATAAACCTGGAGGGCGTCGCGGACCTTGCAGTGGAGGACAGCAGGATTGTTCCTCACCACATAACTATCTTGTGGCTCCTCCAGTAAAATCGGGACAGTGGAGTGTTTTGAGTCTTCATCTGGTAAAGGTTCTAGCAAGAATCCCCCTGGATCAGGAGAAAAAACAATTGTTAGTGCATAATATAAACTTCATTGGATAGGAACAAGATAAATACTCCACGATAAATACAAGATAAATATTTTATTACACTAAATATACATACATTAGATGCTATCAAAATACTGGAAAAAAATCAACTCTATACATGAATTTATTCTATAGAAACTGTTTGTACAGTTATAGATACTGCACCAGATCCTAATGCTATAATTACAGTTATTCTTCTTCATCGGGATTCGGTCCATGTTTTGAACAAGGGAGGATCAGGTTCAGCGTAGACCTCTTCCTTTTAATACAGAGAGTACGTTATGGTTTGGTTTGAATTACGCGCAATACTACACGAGGGCTATCTGCGCTAGCCGTCCCTAATTTTGCAATGAAAGATTAAAGGAAAGAAGCTAGTCATCACCACCCACCGCCAACTCTTAAGCTACTCTTCTACCAACAAATAATTACATTATAACGCTGAAAGGGCAAAGAAAGTTTGATGGGGTATGTTGTGTAAAATAATGTAAACTCAACAGGAACAATCGATTAGATCCACGTTTTGCAGGGCTGAGCCTTGCTCAATAGTTAGTGTCGGGTGTGAATTCGAGTGTCCATATCTCGCGTTTTATTCCCGCAAAATCGCGTTCCACACTTTTGAGCCACTGGCGCGTTATAAGGGTGACGATCAAATCCCGCTATTCGATTAAAATACTCCATGAGTTAGCGGCGGGTACTGTTGACAAGCTACTTTCCCTCTTTTTTATCAGATTAAATTGATGGACGTCTAGAGCAGTCCATATATATATATATATATATACATTGTATAACTTTAAATTGCACAACTACAGAGTCACTGCTGTACAGGTGTTGTTCTTATTAACATAGCTAGATAAAAATACTTAAATTATTTACGTCGTTTTGTAACCTGAAAAACAACAAACCAAAGATAATTACGTACTTGTAAATGAAGTGTTAGCAAAATTCAATCAAACGCATATAGCATGTTCTTATTTGGTTCTTCAACAAACGTAAAAAGTAAACGCCGTATAAGTTTTGTTTGTTTGTCTTGAATTTCGCGCAAAGCTACACGAGGGCTATCTGCGCTAGCCATTCCTAATTTAGCAGTGTGAGACTAGAGGGAAGGCAGCTAGTCATCACCACCCACCTCCAACTCTTGGGCTACTCGTTTACTAACAAATAGTGGGATTAACCGGCACATTATAACGACCCCATGGCTGAAAGGGCGAGCGTGTTTGGTATGAAGGGGATTCGAACCCGCCGTATAAGTGCTAACGGTAAACATATATCACAAATAATCCCATATAAGATATACTTATCAAACTTCTTTTGGATATACTCGCTCGTCCCTTATATACTGATCACATGCTCGTTGTTTAATTAATTATATATTTTTGGTTATTGTCATAATTAATCTCATTGCACGTCAACATGTCAACATGTTTGAAAATGAATAGATGCTGTCATATATAACCTACAGAATTATATTATTGTTCATAAAGCCAATTACTTAAGGTTCAGTTCGTATCAAAGCTCTACTGAAATCACTTCTTTTCGATCGAGGATCTAAAGTGATAAAGAAAGTGTTAATGAAAAGGATAACATTTGTACATTCTTAATGATAAGTATTAGTCTGACAGCTTCAATAATGAAAGTAATAATATGTAAATTAACGGACCCCCCTACATTATTAGATGGCGATGTGGATTATAATACGTTGAACTAGCCGGATTTACCTTATAATCTATAAAGGAAGATGCAGATGAATGCTGTTCGAGCATGAACTAGCCGGATTTGCCTCATGATCTATAAAGGACGATGCAGATGAATGTTGTTCGAGCATGAACTAACTATATTTACCTCATGATTTACAAAGGAAGATGCAGATGAATGTTGCTCGAGCATGAACTAGCCGGATTTACCTCATGATCTATAAAGGAAGATGCAGATGAATGTCATTCGAGCATGAACTAGCCGGATTTACCTCATGATCTATAAAGGAAGATGCAGATGAATGTCATTCGAGCATGAACTAGCCGGATTTACCTCATGATCTATAAAGGAAGATGCAGATGAATGTTGTTCGAGCATTCATTTCAGACAGTCTGGTAAAAATCTAATTATTATAAATTAGTTACTAAAAACTATCGGATGGACGGTATGTGGCAGAATTGTTTAGCTGATTTTGAAGAACATCCTAACATCTTTTCGTCCTCCTTAAAGTTTCGTAAGACAATATTTCGCGATGGTTTTCCATCCCTCTAGTTATATAATTCAAATAATGACGCCGTCTGCTTTCTTGAGAAATCTTTGCTGCTTTTCTTATATGAATTTCTCACAGCTACACACATTCGCAGGATAAGCAGAGGCTCTGCTGCTATTTGCTAATCTATTTCAAACACAGAAGTTTTTTTTCTTGTATTATTTATCTGTACAATAGATTATCGTGATGCTTTTGGTTGTTGTTGTTGAGCCACCTTGCTGTATAAAAAAAATATGTTTTATTTTAACACTATATGAAGTGTTATTTCCAAATAACATATATTTGTATCGTGACCCAGACTTCACCGCACCAAGAAAGCACAGCCACAAGGAACACAGAAGTCTTAAGCAGAGACATTCGGAAGTAACAATAAAGCAGTGAAGAAGGCCGGAACGGACCAAAAAGTTGACCAAGCTGGAGACAAGAAAAAGCGAAAGAAGGGGAGGAAAGAGAGCTTCAGTATTTACATTTACAAGGTTCTAAAGCAGGTCCATCCAGATATTGGAATCTCAAGCAAAGCTATGTCCATCATGAACAGCTTCGTGAACAATATTTTCGAGAGAGAATCATCACCAAAGCTGTGACCAATTACACCAGTTCCAAGTATTATTTTCTTCTTCTCTTTTCAATGTGGTTGTAAGAGCAGTTTTGTTTATATTAAGTCAAAGCGAAAAAAACTATTTGTTTTACAGTTTATTTTAGTTTAGCTTCCCTGAAATACAGAATCGTGTCACTTATCATCATAATCAAATCTTGAATATTAGTGTACAAAATAATTAGAACTAAAATATAATTTAATAATCCAGCATTGCACTTCCTTTCATAATTATGTCCCCTTCTAGTCACAACTCTGTCACGGGGCAAAACAGCATACTAAGTTATTGTTGAAAAGGCCTACCAAAGTTTGTATTTCACCGACGAATGTTAGGTTATTGCAGTTACTTTAGACAAATGTGCTAATTAGTATGTGATACCCTATGTTTAAAAATGCATTTACATGAAAATTCAATTTGTTGGTTTCAACACTAGTCTACATATTGTGTTGTATATGTTGTTCCTACAGCGGGAATTGAACACGAAATTTAACGCTATTAGCTCTCAAACTTTCCACTGAGTCAACTGGGAGTCATAACGTACTTATCTATTTTTTTTTACAACAAGCCCATGTTATTATAAACTGTAATTATCAAGAAAACCTAAATATTTCTTATTTATTTTTTTGAAATGGCACTGTAATACCGGTTCAATGTTCAAAACACGCCATGGACTCTTTTAAGAATAATCGTTATGAATGGTTCATAGCTATAACGAGTGTTAATCTTGAAATAGGTAAATAATCAACGTAAAAAGTTGTGTTTTTTCCTGTAATTCGTGTCAATTAATTGATAAAATTCTTTGGGTATTTTCTGTATAAATATGGAAAAGATTGTTACTGGATTCGTGATAGTCTAGCAGGTTTCACACACATAGATATGTACTATATATGTCAAGTTTTGTTTTGTCAAATATTCCAGTAGTGTAACGTAATGCCACAGGAATTTCGAATCTTTTCTACAGTCTTGTCATATTCCAATGACTTATACCATCACCGACCATGCTCGCTCTTTCAGCAGTGGGTGTTATAACGTATCGGTCAATCCTACTATTCTTTGGTAAAGATAAATCCAAGAGTTGGCAGTGGATATTGTTGACTAGCTACCTTCTTATATTCTACTGTAACTTCTAAATTTAGGACGCCTACAGCAAATAGCCCTCGAGGCTTTGTGAAAATTTTCACAAAACAAACATATTGTGTGATAGCAATGAAGGTTATCAACGGTAGATTTTAACTTCTGCTGTTTAAAATACAGTTTATTTTAACTGCTAATCTTTAATATGATGGAAATAGTAGACGGTGTTAATCGTTAACAAAATTGCAATATATCGGACGTCTACAAGTACAGTTTTCAAAATAAAAATAAACGAGTTTTTAAAGTTCATGACTAGTTACTTTTCAACGCACAATTATATTTCAGTAAACTAAAATTAGGCTTAAGAATATCAATATGTCACATTTTCTCAGTTTGCAGCTGACGTCATTATAATCGAATGTTATTTAAATTTTTAATTACATAAAAGTAAAAGTATTCGGTTTTTGAATGGTTAGTTTTTAGCTTAATATCAGAGAGTTTTTTGTTTTTTTTGGTATAAATACTTACTGTGGGCTTAATTTTATATGCAGTTCACGTGGAAGCTATCCTTCACTGAATAATGACGTTATGGCTGCTTGAATGCTTACTTAAAAAAATAAAAGTGAATACAAGTACTTAAATATTTTCTAATGTAGTTTAATGAGGCGACCACACTCACACTCGATTAAACTATCGTACTATAACGTCTGATTAATATACAAAAATAATTTGTTCACTCTGATAAGAACGAAAAAAAAACCGTCAAAAGTTAGTCACATGCACACAATATATGTATGTATATATATATTCGTTTGTTCGTTTGAATTTATGCACAAAGGCTATCTGTATATATATATATATATATATATATATGTGTGTGTATAGTCTAGAGAAAAGAAATATCAGTTTTCATTATTTTGGTAAATAAATCACCTAGATATTTTCTGCTCTTCTTAAAGTAATAAATGTAATGAAAGCATGAGTAAAAATTGATTAATAATTACACGTTTTAAATTTGAAATTATAAGTTATATGCTATAACAAAATCCTTTAAAATTTTAAGATTTTGTTAATGATTAACAAAATCAATATTTTAATCTTTTATGCAGTACTTATAGAACTTGGTATCTTGTAGCATACTCTCAGAAGCTGCATTTCTCACTGCTAAAGAGCGTGACCTAATATTAGTGTACTTAAGATTTGGCGATGGATGCTGTTGACTTCTTTTTAGTCTGTATAGCGTAGATAGCCTTTGCTCAGCTTTGTGCAAAAATTCTAAAATATTAAACGGGCAATAACTGTCAAACATTTATTATCGATATTTTTGTTAAAGCTAATATAGTTATATCATAAAGGTCTTTATTTTAAAAAGATTACCACACCGCTCAAATATTTTGAAACGTTTCCTAGGATTTATTTCAAATTAGATGTTTGCTTAATGCACCCCTTTTGGTTTCCATTTTGTTTAAAAACAAGGTCTGACATAGCCTAGTGGTTAGGGCACTCAACTCGCAAACAGTGGGTCGCAAGTTCGAAATCCGTCACCGAACCTGGTCGCCCCTTTTAACCGTGGAGAGAGTTATGTGATGGTCAATCCCACTATCAGCTGGTAAAGGAGTAGCACAATAGTTGGCGGTGGGGGGTGTTGACTACGTGCCTTCCCTTTAATATATCACTTCAAAATTAGGCGCGGCTATCTCAATTTTCTGAAAATATCGGGTATTATTCTACCTCAAATTGTTCTCTCTTATTTAATGTTTTTGTATCAATGATACCTCAAAAACCATTGACAGATTCGTTTTTAAATATTAAAAAGACTTTATATTCGAAGTGAGCAGATTCTTGTCGATTTCCAGCTCTATAGGGATAGAACTTTAGTGCACAACTTTGGCCAATCTACTAGTAATAAAGAAAAAAAAGTTTAATACACGATTTACTCAGCGCACATATTAAAAGAAAATTAAACACAAAAATTGAAAAGATGAAATGACAAAGACAAAATAAGTTTTAGAGTTTTTTACAGACATCAAGCAAGGAATAGCAGTTTCACTTTCAAGAGCAATTAGAATAAGACTCACGCAACACAAAGCACAAAAATTATTTTGTTGATGTGACATCAGAAGAGTTATAATCAATTACCGCGGAGTGAACAAATAGTTACTCGTTTTCTTGATCAAACATTTTGATTTTTTTTCACGCTCGGTAAGTGTAACGACATTTGAAAATATAGAAATAAGTACATGAGCATCACTAAATCTCCTCAAAAGACCTTATTGAAAAATAAACAAATTTAGACAATTGCCTTCAGTTGTAAATCTTTTTATTGTTACTAGTAAAAAGTTATACGAATATGTATTAAAACAATATTGTATATAAATTCCTTTACGGATCACCATGGGACTCAAAAGCAAAATATATGCGAATTACACCATGCATGAATTTCTTTACTGTTGCGTTGAAACCCTGTTTATAAGATATAATTACAAATGCCCCACAGTGGCACAGCAGTATCTCTGCGGATTTACAACGCTAGAAACCGGGTTTCGATACCCGTGGTAGGCAGAGCACAGATAGCCCTTTGTGTAGCTCTGTGCTTAGCTACAAACAAGCAATATAATTACGACTCGAAATACAGTAAAAATATAGCAGTATTTTTTCGTTATTCCACTAGGTATTGCTGGAGCCAGTGTAGAGCACAGTGGCACAGCAGTATCTCTGCGGATTTAGAGTAGGTGTCTATGTAGAGCAGGTGTAGTTGAGTAAACTCCTTGATACCTGTTGTTCTAAATGCAACAACTTACCAAAGTAAATTACTATGATATTTTTTGTGTTTATGGAACTTTAAAAATTTATGATTGCTTTTGTCACCATCCTTTTTTTATTACAATTAAACCTAAATTATATTATACAAATCTCTACAAATTTATTAAACTATAGTTTAATGTAACATTTAAGAAAATCAGTCCTACGTGTTTTTTTTATTAGCGACTAATTTTGTCGCACTTATGAATTTTCGTACCATACTGCACCTGTTGAACGTAGCACTTTGTTTGTATGTTTTTAAGCGCTAGTCTACACAATGGGCTATCTGTGCTCTGTGCACGTAGTAAGTTCTGTTACATCCAGTTTTCTAGGTTTGTTATATAACGCGCGTGCGCTTTGTTTTAATATATAGCAATAAAAACTCGCACAAGTTAGAATTCCCATGTACCACAGTAATATTTCTGAACCATCGTGTCGTGATATCATTTTTGTGTATTGAAATTTTTATCACTCGTAAAGAAAACATTATCAATATCTGTAGAGAACTAATATACAAAAAACATTGCCTATATAGCCTTCTTAATAATAACGCTGGGTAATTAACATACACTGCGCATTACATTGTTTCAAATACAGCTTTTCACACCTCATAGGCACTACAGTCGATTTGAAACAGTAAACAAAAATACATTCACAAAAAAATATGCCAGCAATGCTATTTGGAGTGTAATTTCTGAGTTATTTTTCTCACAATATTAACTTTTTAATAAGAATAATCGTGATGTTCTTAATAAGTGTTATTTATTAATAAATTTTATTCAGTTCTTAATTTGTGACAACTCAGAAATGAGTGTCGGTCCGTTTTTACTGAGAATCAAACAAGAATATAAATATTTATAAGATAAACGGAAACCTATTATGACCTTGTCACATTGGTTTAATAAAGAATCTTGGCCTGGCAATGTTTTTACACATCTACAGATTCTGCATGAAACTTACTGTTCTCATGAAACTATCAAAAAAAAAGTACGAAATTACTTGTTCTAACATTTTTCTTCTACAATATAATAAACAAATGTACAACTTACTAATTAAAACATACTCATGTTAGTTTTTTTGTGTATACATGAAAGCTCTGAGAACTACGAAGTCACGTGAAATCTTAGATTAGAATTCCCCTGCTTGAAAAAAAACTCTACGCAAATAGCATGTGGAACTGATTTTAAATCATCATAAAATCTTCATTGTTCATCGCTCAATCAAAAGAAAATCCCACTTGTCAATAATATTGCAGTGCAGAGGCAGCAATAACAATGTTCATTTATATATCAGTTAAACAAACATTTGAATCACGCCAATGTGTGTTTAATGCTATTCTAACACAAAACTACTTAGAGCATATAGGTATCGATAAAAAAGGATCTGGCAAGAAAAAATGATTGTTATAATTTTTTAAAAAAATATCTGCAGTCAGTTTAAAAATGAAGTTCGTTGATTTGTTTTGTAAATCTTTGAGTGTGTCTTTAACTCGCATAGCCCAGTGTAAATACAAATACACAAAAGTACATATAATTGTGCGTCTTAAAACTTTCTGAATGAACAAATCATGAAGAGTCGAGTAGAAAAACATCACATATATTGAACAATAAGCGTTGTTTTTACACTTATCAATCTTGCTCATCAAACATCACCAACAGCGTGAACATCAGCATCTTTAATGATTTACTTAGACTGCTTAAATCATAGACAATGCTAAAATTAGGTTAGGCTTTTATCTGTATGAGTGTAAGACGTAAAGAATCTTTCATCAGTATCCAAGAAAATCTGCAACCAGAATCTATGTTCTCCTTTGTGAAATCTCAACTCTGTAGCTATTCATCAGTGCTTTAGATCAGATATATGATCACGTTCCGAGGGTTAGCTAATTTCGTTGTTTCCCCTAGTTACGTGTTGTTAAAGTGACATCTTGAAACCTAACAATCGATTCCTCAAAAGTTTATAGATATGCTTTAATATGCCACTTTCAGCTTTTAGTAATTACAAACACATATAAAAATAGCACACTTTTACTGAAAAAAATTAAGTATTAAGTCAAACAGTAGCACCAGTTACAATATATAAAAAAAGTTACAAATATGTTTCAAAAATGTTGATTTTTTTTCACACAAATGTACTTAAAACTTCTGTTTATTTTGTGTTGTTAAGCACAGAGCTACACATGAGACTATCTGTGCTCTGCCCACTTCGAGTATCGAATCCAGAATTTTTATATAAGCCTTCAGACTTACCGCTGAGACACCAGGGGGCTTTTATTTTGAGAGAAAATAATTTCTCAAACTTTAATACTCAAGCTCTATCTCGTTAAATCAACTGCTTGAAGTGTGAATTAAAAGTATAGTTGAATATTTAGTTTTACGTTGCTCCTCATTTAACTCTACAAATACATACAACGAAATGTTTGTTCGTATACTACTTCCCAAATAACTCTTAAAATTGTAACAAAAAATCAACCATTGATTAGGAATTTCACTGGTTATTTATGTTATCGAATATGAATAATCTTACGTTGCGTTATTATTATATTTTAGATACCCATTTGGTTCTCATTACGTATAATGTTCAAACATAACGAACTGACTCACGCCGTCTTAAAAGGTCTATGTTCAGATTTGAAAAGACTCGCTGAGAAACAGTAAGTTGAATTTAAACAATAACAGATATCATTCCAATTTAGAACTAATTTATATGTTGAGTAAAAGTTACCAACTTTCCTGTTCTGTCGCGTGTTTTTTTTCCTTTGACTTTTCCTGTGTTGTATCACTATAAGCGGAAATATCTTTGTATACTACAATAACTTGAAGATATAAACTGTCATTCATATATATTAAAGTAAAGTGTAATATACAGTCTCCATTTATCAAACACGACGTAGCATTCGTGAATAAGTAATACAAAATCCACCTACCGTCACTGACCGTTTCCTTAGTTAGGCCTAATCTCAAGGCAGCCAGTAGTATTATAAACGAGAAGTAACGCAACATACTGAATAATGTACCGGGGATTATGTAGTCCTTCTTGTTCAGTCCGAGTGCGGGCTTCCGTAGCTGTCAGCGTTCTGATATAGACTTCAGGAACATCATATTCAACACCTCTATCTATATAATCTATATCTACGGATCGAACGAATGATTCCACAATCGTCCGTCGTACTCAAAACTGATCAACAACTGCAAAGTGGCTCAGCTGAGTTTTTCTTTTTAAACAAAAATTCCTTGATTATGACTTCGTATACCGTTTTATTAATCAATGTAATCTATACTTTGGTACGTCTCCGGTAGCATCAGAGCGATAAAGGGCTGTAAAAGTAACATAACTATTCTGTTTTTTTTATATAATCACAGAAATAACTTTCTCTAACACAGCTGCATAACGATAAGATTTATGTGTCCCCCTCAAATAATGCTATTTAAAAATTATATTCCCGCAGGTAGCTTACGTCCCCAACTAAGCGTGCAAATAGTAGCTATATTATCCGTACGTCACACAAGGGCTAGAGAACACACTGAGGACAGCGCGGTTCTGATCCGTTACTTACAGTCTGCTCTCCACAACTGACGGCTTGACTCAAGAATAAGTAACATCGGACAAGCAGCAGCGCAGTGACTCCTAAACAGCCAGGAGCCGTGAAAACTGAGCTAAGACATCCCGCCTTGACCCATTGTGGGGATGTAAGATAAGTTTTGGCTCCGATCTGACAAAAAATAAAAATAAGTATATTGATTTTCATAATTCTGACCTATCATGTTCAGCTATTTAATTGCACAATATGCACGAAAGGCTATACTTCAGCCAGAAAAAAAATATTTTTAAATTTAAATTCTTATTACAGACTTGAATACGTTAAAGATTAAACAAAAGTCACAGTTACATAGTCATTCTAAGCAATACTAATAATTTTAAAAGATCAAAGAACGACACTGAATCGCATCGTTCTTTGTATAGTATTACAACATATATTAGGTTTTATGCTCTAAGTTCTTTTCGAACACAAGATGAGCACGCGATAAGAAATTGTTTGTTTCTCTTTCTGGACTTTGAAGTTGAGTTCAAACTTTGATCTAAAGTTGGACCTTATAGTTTCATTAAAGTAAAAGTAATTATATCACTTTTTTTTAGGAGTAACACCTTTAGTGACAAGTGGTTGGGGATGCTGGGTGTGTTTTAAAACAGCTTCAGAGTGCTTAACAGCATTCGTATCAACGGAGCTGACTGACGTCTATAGTGAAAGTATATGTTTTGAGCATTGGGTCTATGGGAAGTTTAAAGAGTCATGCCTTGTTTTTTTTATTCCTCATACGTTTTCAAGCGTAGGTTTATACATCATGTATAATCAGTACGCATTTTATAACATCGAAGTTGAGTCAAGAATTAAAGCTGATTCACTCTAACAGGCGGCTACTACCTCTTTTTTTATTTATAAAAAAGGATGTAAAAGGTTGTGCCAATTAAAAATGGTTGTCTTGATCACCCTTCATATCAACACGTACTGGTTTGGCTGATAACACCGAACATCTGATGATAGATGTCCGCTGAAACTGAATCCTCGCCTGCCGGATCACTACTACCTAACCTAATGCCCCCCAGAAGGCGCGTAAACCAAGACGTCTCTGGTTGTAAAGATTGATCCTCGAACTCATTGTTAGAGTCTACCATTGCTTATACTATTATTGAAATAATGATACACATATATTGAAGTTTACAGCGTAGAATTAAAGCTTACGAAAATAAAATGTAAAGTTGAAGCTTCGTATACTAGTTACTGTAAGATACTAAACGTAAAATTGTAGTAACATAATCATGTTTGTCATAACGTTATGTTACATTTCCAAGACTCCAACCTTTAGAAGCAGAAAAGCATCGAAAATCACAGATATCATTCTAGTATATATATCGGATGTATACAAGGGAATGTTCGAACATATTATTAGAAAACCAATAGCAAGACAAGATGCAGTTAGTAATAAAAATACTGAAGTTCGTTGGGCATCCATAAATCCCAATCCCCAATATGATCTATCATGTTGTTCTTGTATATTAACCTTATAAATGCTTATGTTTATAATGTATTATTTTTTAAACTGTTGGTTGAACGTCTAAATAGCTCGTAACATGCAAATCTAATGAAAATTATATCAGAAGAAACTACCGAAACAACAAAGCAACGAGATCAAAATATATAAAATAAACAACTACTTAAAAACAACTGACCAAAAGTTTTACATTACTCTTGATCTACCTCATTTTCCTTCTGTTTATTTTTTCCACAAATGTCAGAATTAGTTGTGGAAATGACCCAAAGCAAACTATAGAGGAGCGATAACCATATAACTACAAATATAAGAACACATGTAGTTGCTTCGATAAGTCAGATTGTTATTTTTTTATATGGACATTCTGGTTTAGTCCAGCGGCTGTGTGTACAAGCGATAAGAATATGGTTGAAGTTGTCACTTCTATGAGCGTATAGCTTTCTTTATGCTCTTAAAAACACACCAGAACTCTGCTCTTTTACTGTGTTTCATGTAGAACTTTTACATGAATTGCTTAGTAAAAAAATCACAATCTACTACACCACAAAAATGGATCATTAAGTTGTTCATGATTCTAAGTAACTATTTTCACACGATGATTTTTGTGAAGGCATATATATATATATATATATATAATATACGTTAGTGTTAGTTCTAGTCAAAATGTGTGATTGTGTAGATCAAATGAGGAAATACATCATTTGTTCTTAATATGAAACCTAATAAGCTTAAGCAAAGAACGAAAAAATAGAATGAGATACAACTGTGTGCAATTTTTTGTTGAATCTCGCCCAAATTATGTTAATCGTATGGCGTGTCTGAAGAATTTATAGCAAGATTTAATCTGCTGAGGGTAAATTATGTAACGTCAAGCGCTTTCCCTTCGAGACATTATGAACACTGGCCATAATAAAGTTCAAATACTTGTTTGCATAAGCTACCTTTTCGTAGATCGTTTCATCAGTAAAGATGGGCGTGCAGTCTATAGTTACATACTTAGACGATAGAAAAAATGATATGATTATACGACCTGGGGGTCAGAAGACAAAGAAATAACACAAGGCTAACAGCCTCCGTTGTACAGATACACACTCCATTTCTTTCTTTCTTTGCTCTTGAGGCAGAGCAGACAATTAGCGTGAGCCCAAGTTCAACAGGCAGAATTCTTTCAAACAGTCAAGCTATAGGGCATACATGTACCGTAATTACAGGGCTCAAACAAATAACAAGACCAAACTCTACCCGCCTGGCCCACGTCGAGGCGTTATTTGATTTTAGAGTTGAAAGCATTTTTCATGCATAATGACATAAATTTGCACACTGTAGCGATTAGCCTGCCGAGGCAAAGAAAGTTCTGGACCATCGATGCTCGAGACAGGAGCACGTTTACCTCGTGTGTTAATATTTACCTTCTTACCCCCTCTTCAACTTTGTTGTCTCGGCTATTATTTCTAATGGGTATACTTGGCATGGCGACGTTTTTATGCGTGTCTATTGCTTATATATTTTTAATTAGAGAACAGTGATTAGATATTGTCTACCGTAATAGCAAGTAACACTTAAAGCTTCTTTTTTTTTACATTCATTTGTAGCTATTATACTTTGGTTTGAATTTCTCGCAAAGTTACACGAGAGTTACTTGCGCTAGTCGTCCCTAATTTAGCAGTGAAAGACTAAAGGGAAGGCAGCTCGCCATCACCACCCACCGCCAACTCTTGGGATAATATTTTACCAATGAATAGTGGTATTGATTGTTACATTATAACGCCCCCATGGCTGAAAGGGCGAGTATCTTTGGTGGGACGGAGCGCCCTAACCACCTGGCCATGCGGAGCCCAGGTATTACACTTTAAGGTTTATATTAGAACGTAAAGACAGTGGTGTAAAGCATAAATTTTTATGATAATTGTTGAGCAATATCTATTATGCTCATTTGAGTGTTCTCGTAATATAGTATTAGGTTAGATAGAGGATACTAAAGCCCATATTCAGTGCACAAATTTTGCCTCATTGTTCAGTGCACATTTCCAGAGCATTATGATAAAAATAGCCATCCATTTATCATACGATAATATTTTTTTAGGTTTGTGGGTGGTAACCTTATATTATTTCATTTTTAAATTGATATTATTGTTTATTCTTCGGATTTGGAATATCTTTGGTTGTATGTTAGCTTACACGTGATCTTACAGATAGGACCTCAGTTTTATTACCGGTTTGATTTACAAACCGCGAGCATTGAACGATCTAAAAACAAATATACTTAAATTAAGATGCGTGAAAATGACCTACTTCTATATCTTAGGTTATTTTGGTGTGGCTAACAATTTTTGCAATTTAAATAAAAAATTAAAAGACTGCCAGTAACAAAAAAAAAAGAAATAAAACTGGCATTTATTTTAAAATCGCTGTTATTAGCCTTTCAACAAAAGATATCAATGGAACATACTGGACAAAATAAATTATTATTTTTAACTTAATGCCATATATCTTAGAATAAGAAATATTATAGCTTGCCAAATATTAATGAAAATGCGCCGAATATGGCTTGTCAAGTTTTGGATGCAAGAGTCCAGGGTTTGAGACATGATTCTGATGAACCCTCTCTACAGTTTTAGCTGTAGGCACATTTTGAAAATGTGAGCAAATATCGTTATTTGGTTCATGTTAGCGGCAGGTGCTGCTGGTTGGCTGCTTTTTTTCTGATCAATAATTCAAAATTAAGAAAGGCCATACCTAAACCCTAAAGGTCTCGGATGTTTAGTCAACGTACGCTGTCGTTTAGGTAGGAATTATTGCTTTCTGAAATCAAAATAATAACATAGGAAATAATAGGTCTTCCCTTATAATTACATGTTGAAATTTTTTTTTACAGGTCAGCAAAAGCATTAACTGTCATACTTCATTAACCTTTAGAATAATTTTCAAAATAATAGGAATAACACATAATCCCAATATTGACCAGCTCCAGATTAATAATCACTAAATCTATAAAATTATTATGAAAATATTGCCAACTGTTATACTACACATGACAGACACATATTCAGGCACACATATATAAGTCACGTGGTAACATTTACGTGTCACATGACAACAATATAATGTCAAATGCCAGAACAATAGCCGACATGTGTCAAAACATCA